CCAATTGCGCCACGTAGGCTGCATTGCTTGGGGTTCACATGCTGGCATCATGTGGTGTTGATTGGCAGGTTTGAGTGCATGAGTCGTTCCTCAATTGTGCAGGTCGGTTCATTGTCAATTGTCTTTGACGTGTCTCTCGATCGGTTGATCTGATTGGGTACATATGTTTCCTGGCGGTGTCCGTCAGGTCAGGCTTGACCGTTGCCTAAGCCAACTGATGCATCATGTTTAAAGGAGACAGCTCAGCTGCATTTGTTATTAGTCCTCCGAGCAATGTTGACTGACCACCGAAGTTCGAGCGTTGAAGTCTGGTGGATGCGTTCTGTGTTTCTGCACGTATACGCGTCGTCTGCAATCGCAATTTATATTGGGCCATAGCGCCATAGCTACTGTTGTAGAAATGTCCAGCCGATGAAACATTTGACGCGACATGATCAGAACCGATGCGCGATGTACTAGTTAAATGTTGCATCGAGCCAGCCTTAGCAAAGGTGATCAATTACTCGATTTGAGCTTGGCATCTGACATCACGGGGTAGAGGCGCCAGCCGTACACATGGCGGTGGTGACGGCGTCATCCTCCGCGCCAGCATCCTCGTGACGGGACGGCACTTCCTCGGCAGGAGGCGCGCAGTCTTCGAGTAGGAGATCAACTACAGAACTGATGTACACCAAAATTTGTTGGTCGAGCCGACAAACGAGTAGGTAGAATGATACGTAGATCTACGAACACTCTAAACGTGTTTGGTAGATCCTACGAGAAGAAACAGCGGTGGGCGTAGTTGTCCGTTCTGTGGTCGACCTCCCACTCGAAGTCTTGGAGCGCGGCAGGCAGCAAGGAGGGCACGGGCGGGCCACGGGAGAGGGCCGGCGCGAGGGGCAGGAGGCCAAGGCAGGAGGAGCACGCGGAGGCGGGGCGGAGGCGGCGGTGCGGGAGGCGAGGCGGCCAGCGGGCGAGGACGAGCGGAGGAGGGCGCTCCGCGGGAGCGCGAGTCGGCCGTGACCAGCTCGGGCCTCCTCGGGCCCGCGGGCAGCGCACGGGCGGCGCCACGGCGGGCAGCACAGGCCCCCGGCGGGGCCGCGGCAGCAGCGCTGCGGCCCCGCGCGCACGCGCCGGGCGGCGGCGCGCCCCCCCTGAGGCGACGAGGAGGAGCCGAGCGAGCGAGCTGGCCCAGGCGGCCAGCGGGGGGGCGAGGGCTGCGGCAATCCTCGAGACAGGGCCGTCCAGGCGACGTGCTGCTCCCACTGCGCGCGGGAGAGCGCGGTGCAGAGATGTGCCGATGCCAAGACACCGCGAGACGAGCGGGATCGGGCGTGCACGGGCAAACCCGGGGAAGACGTAAGAGGTCAACGGCCAAGAAATGCGTGCGAAAAGAGAGCCCCGGGGTGGCGACGGGGGCCTTCCAGAAAGTCCAGGAAGGCGAAAACGAGGCAAGGGTTCGCAGTATCGGTACCTTCCCTGGGATCCGACGTCGCGAAATGATCCGGGCGAAAGACCCAACCATATGTAGTTGCGATTACCACGGTTGAGAAAATTGTCCTAGGTGGAGCTCACTATTGCGGGGCGAAGCGCGAGAGGGGCGTGCCGTAATGGTGGTGGAGGGGGCGCACGCGAACTGCGCCGTTAAGGCCGTCAGTGGAACTCCCTATGGAGCCACGAAACGCGTGAGTGGTGTGCCGAAACGGGCGCGGCGGTGCCATGCGGGCGCGGCCATTGACGCCCTTAGGTGGAGCTCCCTATGGGGCCACGCAACGAGTGAGAGATGCGAAGGCCAGGGGGGACGCATGCGAAAGTCGCCACCGGGGCCTCAGCTAGAAAAAGTGCGAGGGGTGTGCCGAATTGGGTGGGGGGACGCACGCGAGCGTCGCCACTGGGGTCTTAGGAGGAGCTTCCAACGGGGGCACGAAACGTGTCAGGGGTGTGCCGAAATGGGCGGGGGGGACGCATGCGAATGCCGCCACTGGGGCTTTAGGTGGAGCTAGCTCCCTATGGGGACACGAAACGTGTCAGGGGTGTGCCGAAAAGGGCGGTGGGGACGCATGCGAATGTCGCCACTGGGGCCTTAGGTGGAGCTCCATATGGGGTCACGAAACGTGTGAGGGGTGTTCCGACTTCCGGGGGGGCGCATGCGAACGTCGCAACTGGGGCCTTATGTGGAGTGCAGCAGTGGGCGGGGGGGACGCACGCGAACGTCGCCACTGGGGCCTGAGGAGGAGCTCCCGACGGGACCACGAAACATGTGAGGGGTGTGTGTCGAAATGGGCGGGGGGGACGCGTGCGAATGTCGCCACTGCGGCCTTAGGAGGAGCTCCCTATGGAGGGCCACGAAACTTGTGAGGGGTGTGCCGCAATGGGCGGGGGGGGAACTGGGGGACGCGTGCGAATGTCGCCGCTGAGGCCTTACGAGGAGCTCCATATGGGGACACGTAACGTGTCAGGGACGCATGCGAGGGCGCCACTGGGGCCTTCTGTGGAACTTCCTATAGAGCCATGGGATGTGAGGGGCGTGCCGGAATGGCCGCGGGGGGGCGCATGCGACCGTCGCCTCTGGGGCCTTGGGAGGAGCTCCCTGTGGGGTCACGAAACGCGTGAGGGGTGTGCCGAACTGGTTGACCTGCGGAGGGCAGAGGCAGGAATGGGAGAAGGGAGGAGGGGGAGGAGGAAGGAGGAACGTGCAGCGCTGTCTCTTCAAAACGAAGACCCAGCACCACAGGACGCTTGAGAAAAAACAGAAAACATTGCGAAAAAACATAACCAAAACCCGAGCCCCCATCCTCCTGCGGCATTTCTCGAGCCGGATCGATCCGTGAGGATCCCAGGACCCGAGACCAGGCGAAAACGCCTGGCGTGACAAAATTGCAACGCCAGAGTCTCAGGGTTCTCCTCCTCTGACCCTTCGGTGGCAATTAATGGGAGCCTCCCATACCATCTTGTCGGCTCTTGCGAATCGACGCTAATCGACGCTAGTCGACGCTACATCGACGCTAATCGACGCCAACCGACGCAAAGTCGACGCTATTCCCAGACGCTAATAGACGTCAAACGACGCTAAAGACAGAATGACAAGGGGATACCAGGCTCCGGTGGCGCTAACAGCGCCCGAAGCCCAGCAGGCCAGCATAGCGCTTGGACTGCTGCTTTCCAACAGCCCTGGAGAGGCCGGTGCCCGTGGATGAAACCAGGTTCGATCCGTCATTTCTTATCTCACTGGGGCCTCCCATGATTTGCTACCGAGTGAGGGGACACAATGACACAAACGTGAAAACTGGAAGGTCCGCGCGGACTTCTCGGATGGGCGCTGGGCCCCCGTCCCTGGCGCGCGGAGCGCGCCAGGGGCGGCGCCGGAGGCGCCGCCAGGCGGCCCCAGCGCCGATCCGAGGAAGCCGCGCGGAGCTCCGAGATGTGATGGTCGTGGCACGGCTTGCTCCCCGATGGCCTGCTGCCGGAGGCCCCCCAGGGGCGCGCCGGCCGAGGGCGCGGCCCCCACCCCACCGCCGTCGCCCGGGCTCCGCGGTGGAGCCCCCTCGAGGAGAGTGCTCGGCGCGCCTCGGCCGGGGCGCGGCGCAGCTCCGCCGGGGAGGGGCGCCGCCGCCGCCAGCGTGAGCGGGGGCGTCGGGCCGCGTGATGAGCGACCACCCCCGACAGAAGCAAGCAGCACAGAAGACAGAGACAAAGAAACAAAAAACAAAAAACAAAAACGAAAAACGCCTGCCCGCGCTGGGGACGGAAAGCGTGCGCGCTCTCTCTCTTTGCCCCGCCCCGCGGCCGGCCCCGCTCCTGCAGCCGGGCAGTCCGCGCCCGCCGCCTCCCGGGCCCGCCCGAGAGCGCGCGTGTGCGGGCTGCCTCTGCCGCGCGGCGGCGAAACAAGTTGGACATGAATTGACGACCCTCTGTCGCTACAGGGCAGTTTTTTATACATCGGATTTTTGTTTAACAAAACACATGAGTAATGTATGAATAAACTTAAGCATGAACTCATCGTTGTTTTTACTACTAAATCCCTGCATTTTTGATACATGATCCGCACGCGGAGCATGTATTAAAAACGGCACTGCATATTCTGTTCAATTTGAGCCACGTCTGCGTCGCAGAGCGGGAGGTGGCTGGGAAAGGGCGTGCCACGCCTTGGCAAGAGCCTTGCCCCGATTCGCGCCCGCCGCGATCGCCGCGGCGACCACCACAACTGACGTGGAAGTGGTCACATCACGCCGCGAAGTGTGTAGAGGCATCCTGGATGGGGTCCCATGCGTCGCCGATGCATGGGCGATGCGGCGCGATCCTCCGACCCCATCTGATCGGATCCCATCTGGGAGGCTTAGGATTAGGTCGGCCATGTCCGGTTTACAAGCGGATGTTAAAAGAAACATTGCACATTGACAGAACAACCTTTTGGTATGATGGTAAGAGCACGAAACATCGCCACCGTGCCAGCTTTTGACTCTCCCTGAATGCCCTTCCTGCAGAGGGGCATGCCCGACTTGAGCTTCGAGTCCGGTGGCGCCCTGCTGCCAGTGCCGCTCTGTGCGCCCTCGCGCGGGCGGCCGCCGCCCGCCGCGCGGCGGGGCGGGGCGGGGCGCGCGAGAGGCCATGCGCCGAGCTCGGCGCCCTCGCCGCGCTGGGTCCTCCGGCGGGGCCGGCGAGCCGCGGGCCCCAGGGCCGCTCGGGGCGCTGCGGGGGGGCCACGTGCGCAGCGGGCGCGAGGGCAGTGCGCGCGCGGCACGCGCGGGGGCGCTCGTTTGTCGATGTCCCCGGGCAGCACGAGACGTCGGAAGAGGTGACGTGGAGAGCGCGGCGGGGAGCGCGAGATGTCGGCGAGGGGCACCCTTCACACCGAGGGGCAGGTGCGGGCGCAGAGACAGGGGCAGGAGGGCAGGGGCAGGGAAGCCGAGAGGCGGAAAGAGAGACGGAGAGGGAGAGCAGGAGAAAATGAGGGAGGGAGGGAAGGGGAGAGGGGAAGGAGAGAGCGAGGGAAAGAGAGAGAGAGAGAGCGAGTCCGGCATGTCCACACACCACTCGGATAGCCGGCTGTCGGCCATGGCAGCCTGCTCCGAGTTCGGGCAGTCCGCGTCGGTGCGCCCAGCGCAGCCTGGGCGGGTCAGGGGAAGAAGGAGGAGCGTCGACCTTCAATCGCCCCCCCTTCACGGTTCCTTCACCAAGCGACGGGAGTGGCGAGAGAAGAGTCCACTCAAGGAGCCTACTGGGGGGAATTTGCCGACGGACTTCACGGAGGGGAACCCTGGTCCAGGGTTCCCCCCACGCTTTAGGTTCCCCCCCACTTCTCGCACTGCCTGGATGCAAGATTCGATGTTCCGCGGCCCAACCTTGGGGGGGTGCAAAAGCGCACCGATACCACTACTCCACGGACGTCTCAGGGATGCGCTCTGACCAGAACGTCGAGGCGAATCCAGACGCAGCGACGAGGGATAGGTAGCGGTAGTTTCCTATTTCCCCTTGGGGCCGAGGAGGAGGAGGAGGAGGAGGAGGAGGAGGAGAGGAAAGGAGGAGGAGGGGAGGAGGAGAAGGAAGAGGAGGAGGAGAGGGCGCAGACGTGGGAGGAGGAGGAGGTGGAGGAGAAGGATGCAGCGTGGGAAGATGAGGGAGAGGAGACGTGGGAGGAGGAGAAGGAGGAGGAGGAGAGGAAAGGAGGAGGACGGGAGGAGGACGGGAGGAGGAGAAGGAGGAGGAGGAGGAGGAGGAGGAGGAGGAGAGGGCGCAGACGTGGGAGGAGGAGAAGGTGGAGGAGAAGGATGCAGCGTGGGAGGATGAGGGACGTGGGAGGAGGAGGAGGAGGAGGAGGGAGGAGGAGCAGGAGGAGGAGGGGAGATGTGGGAGGATGAGGAGGAGGAGGAGGCAGCGGGCTTGGCGCTGCTGGAAGCCCACCCAAAAAGCCTGTCGAGGAAAGAGGCGGCGAGGAGAGGAGAGGAGGAGGAGGAGGAGGAGGAGGAGGAGGGGAGGAGGAGGAGGGAGGAGGAGGAGGAGGAGGAGGAGGAGGAGAGGGCGAGCGGGAGGCGGAGGATGAGGATGAGGACAGGGGGCAGGTGAGAGGAGGGGAGCGCGAGGAGGGGGAGGGGGAGGAGGAGGAGGAGGAGGAGGAGGAGGAGGAGGAGGAGGAGCAGCAGCAGCAGCACAAGTAAGAGCACTCGGCCCGACCCCTGGGCAAGAGAGTTTAATCCCCCGATTTGCGAGGGAATGGTGGCAAAACGGTAAACGCCAAATGCTCGTGGACACCCTCGCAGCTTGAACGCTCTCTGAAGGACACGCCCAGCCGAGGCATTGCTCCCAAGGTCTCATTTCACAGAGCGCAGGGGGGGCAAGATGGGCGCTGAAAGACCGACAAGGCAGGAGGACGGAGGATGAAGGGGGCTAGAAAGGAAGGACCAAAGGAGGCAGGAGCAAAGAGTTGGAAGAAGGCTGGAGGAAGGATGAAGGCGGCCGACAGGAGAGCGAAGAGGCTCAAGGGGCGGAGGGTGAGGCTGGCACCCATTATGACCCCCCCCTCGGTTGAGCGACGTCACCACTGCTCAGCGTAGCCTTACCACCAGTAGGGGAATGAGAAAGGAGAAGGGGGAACAACGACAAACACACTTGCATACCGGATGCATCCGTTCCACATTCACTTGGACTCCCCGTTCACCCGTTCCATTTAAAACAACCACCCACACACGCATATTTCGGGACTCTGCAGAAGAGATGAGCGACAATGAAAGCAAGGAAACAGGCCCCTTCCTCCCCATCCTCATCCCCCTCTTACTAATATGCACTCGTGTGCTGCACGCCCTAGACAGAGGTTCTCATCATGGGGGCGTTTCGCAGACACGCTGTGTCCTGAGTCCTGAATCCTTCTCCTCCTCCTCCTTCTCCTCCTCCTCATCATCCTCATCATCATCAGCATCAGCATCATCATGACCATCAGCAGCATAACAATCCGCCGGCCCCCTTGTGGGGCCACCAGGCTGCGAGGCGCGGGTTCGCAGTTTCCAGTACCAGTTGTAGCTTGTAGTTTCCAGTGTTACAGTTCTGCTTCTTGCTGGTTACTGTAACTAGTTGATTGACCGCGCGAGGGGGGGGAGGCCCAAACCAGATTTTTAGCGTCTCCTGGGCGCGTTGTCTGAATTGCTGGGGGGGCTCGAAATCGACACCCCTCACGCAGATCCGCGGGGTCAGGGTCCAAAAACACAGGGGATTTGCCACATTTCTGAAATTCGGTGCCACCCCTCACGCAGATCCGCGGGGTCAGGGTCCAAAAACACAGGGGATTTGCACATTTCTGAAATTCGGTGCCACCCCTCACGCAGATCCGCGGGGTCAGGGTCCAAAAACACAGGGGATTTGCCACATTTCTGAAATTCGGTGCCACCCCTCACGCAGATCCGCGGGGTCAGGGTCCAAAAACACAGGGATTTGCCACATTTCTGAAATTCGGTGCCACCCCTCACGCAGATCCGCGGGGTCAGGGTCCAAAAACACATGGGATTTGCCACATTTCTGAAATTCGGTGCCACCCCTCACGCAGATCCGCGGGGTCAGGGTCCAAAAACACAGGGGATTTGCCACATTTCTGAAATTCGGTGCCACCCCTCACGCAGATCCGCGGGGTCAGGGTCCAAAAACACAGGGGATTTGCCACATTTCTGAAATTCGGTGCCACCCCTCACGCAGATCCGCGGGGTCAGGGTCCAAAAACACATGGGATTTGCCACATTTCTGAAATTCGGTGCCACCCCTCACGCAGATCCGCGGGGTCAGGGTCCAAAAACACAAGGGATTTGCCACATTTCTGAAATTCGGTGCCACCCCTCACGCAGATCCGCGGGGTCAGGGTCCAAAAACACAGGGGATTTGCCACATTTCTGAAATTCGGCGCCACCCCTTACGCAGATCCGCGAGGTCAGGGTCCAAAAACACATGGGATTTGGCACATTTCTGAAATTCGGTGCCACCCTTCACGCACATCCATCGCAAGGCGTGGTAACCCAAACTGCGAGAACTCCCTCGGCCCTTTAATCGCAAGGTGTGGTAACCAAGCCCGTAAACCATACACGTCTTACCAATCGCCAGGTGTGGTAACCCCTCTTGTGATCAGTTGGTTTTGCTGATTGCGAATCGGCTTCGCATGAAGTTTCGATACTGCTTCACGACAGCGCCAAGGCCTCATGACTTAGCTCTTCCATGGCCCATTCTTCGAGAGAGGGGGCCGGCGGCAGGGGGCGAAGCCCTTACGGATAGTGAGAATAAGAAAAAAACATCATAATAAAACTAAGGATAATAAAAAAACGAAGAATAATGATGATAGTACAAATAAGAATACGAATACTAAGACCAATAATATTACTAATAATGATAATGCTAAGCATCATCATCATCAGCAGCATCAGCATCACAAGCATAATCAGCATCATCAGCAGCAACATCATCATCAGCAGTAACAGCATAAGAATAAGAAACATAATCATACTCGTTATCATCAGCATTAACATCATCAACATCAACATCAGCATCATCATCATTATCAGCATCATCATCAGTATGATCATCATAATCATCAGAATCATCATCATCATCATCATAATCCGCAGCAGCATCATCAGCATCATATCTATCATCATCAGAATTTGCATCGTTATCATCAGAATCATCATCAGCATCAGCAGCATCATCAGCATCATCAGCAGCAGCATCGTCGTCATCATAATCACCATCATCAGCATCATCAAAATTATCATCATCAAAATCAGCATCACCACCATCGTCACCATCAGCAACAGCATGGTTATCATCAAAATCATCATCACCATCAACAGCATCAGCAACATCATCATCACCATCGTCATCATCGACAGCACCATCATCATCAGCAGCAGCAGCATCATCATCATCATTCTCATCATTATCCTCATCATCATCAGCATCATCATCAGCAGCATCATCAGTATCAGCAGTACCATCACCATCAGCATCATCAGCATCATCAGCATCATCGTCACCACCACCATCACCATCGCCATCATTATCGTCGTTATAATTATAAGCAGAATCATCATCGTAATCATCAGTATCAGTTCCATCAGAATGATTATCACCACCATCATCATCACAAACATCATCGTCATCATCGTCATCGTCATAAACAGCATCATAATCACCACCACCATCATCATCAGCAGCATCATCCTCATCATCATCATCATCATCATCATCATCATCGAAAGCATCATCACCATTATCATCGTCATCCATATCCTCAGCATCCTCATCATCCTCATCATCCTCATTATCATCACCACCAGCATCGTCATTACCATCATCACCATCACCATCGCCATCACCATCACTATCATCATCATCATCATCATCATCATCATCATCATCATCATCATCATCATCATCGTCATCAGCATCAGCATCATCACCACTAAGTTATCGTCCTCCAAAAGAACACACGTGACCACCAAAAGCGCAAGACAATCTCCAAGAATCCAAACCACCTACAGAAACTCCTCCTCCAGATCCTCTTTCTCCCCCTCCTCATCCTCCTCCTCCTCCTCCTCCTCCTCCTCCGCCTCCTCATAATCATCATCACCATCAACATCCACATCATCCTCATCATCATCATCATCAGCAGCATCATCATCACCATCATCATCACCATCATCATTACCATCATCCGCATCATCATCATCATCATCAGCAGCATCATCATATCACCATCATCATCAAAACATCATCGTCATCGTCATCGTCATCCTTATCAGTGTCAGCATAAACATCATCGCCACCACCACCACCACCACCACCATCATCATCAACATCATCATCATCGTCATCACCACCATCGTCATCAGCAGCATCATCATCGAAATCAGCATCATCACCACCACCACCACCATCACCATCATATCATCATGCATAGCCTCTGCATCCTCATCATCCTCATCATCCTCACCATCATCATCACCATCACCATCACCATTACCATCACAATCACTATCATCATCGCCAT